ATATTCAAATTAGAAACAATTTAGAAACCTATACAAATCTAGAAATAATTATTAATATTTTAATTAGAATCAGTATAGCTCAGCAGACTATGATCAGCTGACCTGTTTTTCCTGTTTAATCCAGATTCTGATCGTTAATAGGCAGCTTCACGGCCTCTGTTCTCCTTTAATACAATTTGTTAGCTTTAAACTGGACAAGGACAGGATAGCTGTTCGCAAGAAAGGTATTCTGAAAGAAAGGGCCAGCAGAGGGCTAGGGTATATGTACCTGGTCTCTGTCTCCTTCAGATCAGATGTGAGAGTCATAGAACTGGAATGGGCCATTTACATCCATCAGGTCTATCCCCCTATTCAGTGCAGTAATCCAGTTTTAAGTATTTCCAGCAGATGGCTGTGTAAGTATCTAGCCATTATTTAAACACATTTTGTGAAAAGGAGATTACCACCTCTTGTTAACTGTTACTATGGACAAAGTGCTTTACTATTAGGATCCCTCCCTCCCCCGCCCAACTTTCACTTGGAATCTGCCTTCCTGTAACTTAAATCCATTATTTCATCTCTTGCACTCTGGTCTGATGGAGCACAGATCTTAATTTTCTTTTTTATGACAACCTTTAAGGTATTTGCAGAGGGCTGTATGTCTTCTTTTAGTCTCTCTTCCCAAGGCTAAACAAACCAGGCTCCTTCAAACTCTCTTTAGAGGACTTAGTTTCTAGGTTTCCAGGTCAATCTAGTTGCTCTTCTTTGAACATAGAAGTTTCTTTGAAGTTTCTTTGAGGTTTCTCAAGTGTGTTGCCTGCAACTGGATACAATACTCAATGAGGTATATAACCAAAGCAAAAAAAGTGTTACTTCTGTAATTCAAAAACGATATTTCTGTGATGTAGATAAAAATGTTTATTTGCATTTTTGGCAGTCACATCACACTGACTTCATTCATTTGCAATCAACTATAATTCTAAGACCTTTTTCACAAGTACTAGTGTTAAGCCATTCCTCATCTTATTCCATGCATTTATTTTTGTATCCTAGGTCAGAACATTGCTTTTGTCTTTAGTAAATTTTACTCTGTTACTTTCAGCTATTTCTCTCACCTGTCAAGATCACTTTGAATTTTCTTTGTCTTCTAGTGTATAAGCTATACCACTCAATTTTGTGTCTTCTACAAATCTGACTTCAGTCAAGTCACATGAAGTCATTTCATCCAAATCACTGAAACATAAATTTGAAAGAGATGACTTCATCCAAGTCATTAATAAAAAATATTGAAAAGCACTGGATCCAGGACAGAACCTTGTGGCACCCAATATCACTGTCAAACTGATGAGGAGACACTGATGAGCAATCTTGGAGTACAGTTTTCAAACCAAGTATGTATTTACTTGTCATGATATCCAGCCTATACTTAATTAATTAATCAGAATGTCTGGGGGAATTTGAAATCAGGATGATGATAATGATTATCCTGCCCTTTTATATATAACTCAAGGCAGTGAACATACATAATACTCCTACCTGCTATTTTCCCCAGCCAACAACCCTGTGGATTAGGTTGGGCTGAGAGAGAGTGACTGGCTCAAAGTCACCCAGCCGGCTTTCATGCCTAAGGGAGGCCTAGAACTCACAGTCTCCTGGTTTCTAGGTCAGCACCTTCACCACTACACCAAACTGGCTCTCAGTAAGATCTATTATGTCTATAACATTCTCACCATCTGTTAAGGAAGATGCCCAATTAAAACATTAGGTCATGTTAATATGGGAAGACTTGTTCTTAACAAAACTATGCTTTCTTCTAGTAATGACCACATTCTTTTCAAAGTAATTACATACTTTATTGTGGAAAAGACTGCTAAGTAGTTCTGCCTTATGTAGAATGTGAGTAGATTAATATATAGCTTAATTTTGTTAAAACTTATTATACATTTCTTTATGATCTGCTCTAGAATCTTCCTTGATACCTATTTTCACCAGAATGTCCATTTTGAAAACAGTGAGATTTGTTTCTGCAAACACCCAACACTCCACATATCCTTCATGATTTTATCAAAGACAATACATAAATGATTTGTATAAGTCTTTACAAAATTAAGTGGAACAAGAACCAAAACCTAATAGTCCTGTGAGAAGTGAGCAGAATACTGACTGGGGGAAGTGAAAAACTAAGGGGAAAGGAAATAGAACACTCTGGAAAAGGCATGGTTGCTTGGTCCGAATAGGAGCATGCCACAATTCTGTTGCAAACCTCACTCATTTTGTATTTAACTTATAATTTATATTAAAAATGATTCCAGGTAAAACAGATTATGGTAGTCTGGTGATACCAGAGTAGGAGAAGCGTGACCCAGCTGAGTATTGCCTGATATCTCAGTGGCCTTCACCATTGATCATGGTATCCATGGGGACCGTTTCTGAGGGTTGGTAGTGATGATCACTATTTGGTGTTGGTTTTCTTCTTTTTTAAAAGGGTGGTTCCAGTTGGTAGTGGTGGGGAAAGACTGAGTCCTAGGCTCCTGTGTTGTGGAGAGCTGCTGGGCTGAGTGCTGTCATTATGATTTATGGATGTTGGGAATATATATTGCTCAGAGTTATCAGCAATGGAGTGGCATATAAATACAGTAGGTAAGTAAATAACGTAGTGCAGCTGTGTGTTAGCATTTAAACATTTGGGATATTTTTTCCTCAAGTTTTATTGCATTATAAGATGTGAGTAATATATTACAAAATACAGATATTAGCTGGATACAGTGGTATTTATGCAATATAAACTAGAAATTGTTAACACTATGATGGTTTAGATAAGTTAAACCTTTAAAGATAAGGAGAAAAAAGTTTATATAAATGTTAAATAAAATTTCCAAAATGTTAATAAACATATGGTTGCTTGAATTGTACAATCAAAGCTAAGTATGGTATTGATAAACAATTGCAAAATGTTTATCCATAGGTTTATGCAGAAAAGGCAATATGTTCACTTCTAAGATTATGGGTATTATAGATTCAGAGATGGGACAGAAAAAGGAATACAAATTTGTTCTCAGCCCCACCCTTTTAATGGTATGCTGCCCTTGGAAGACAAATGGGATAAACATTAAACACTGAAAAACATGATGTGGAAAAACAACTAGCATGTTTGCATTATGTGAATATGCATAACAGGTTGGGGTCTGAACAAGTTCCAAGCTCTTTTTCTTTATTGTTTCTCCACAACTAGCAGTTGTTTTTTTCATTGTTGAAATAAGAACTCCAACAACACATGGAGGTTTTCAGTACCCACTGCTAACTTTCCTATGGATACTTGACTTATGTTTATTTCAAAACATATATCCCTATTTAATTTTTTTCTGCTCATTTCTACAACTTGGTACCCTCTAGATGAGTGGAATGTAACTCCTATCACTACCAGACAGCAAAGTTATCTGCGGTAATGGGAATTGTGTTCCCACATCAGGTGGGTGCTTGCTTGGAGCAAAAACAGCTAAAATATATTTCCTATTTCCAAACTGAGGCAGGTATGAAAAAAATTAGCTCCAGAGTCCCTATGGTTGTAAATCAATTTTTCCATTTCTAGAATTCTGATACACAGAGAGCCACCATAAGCGATTTCAGTTCTGTTAAAGTAGCTGTTTCTGCCTGGCTGTTTGGTAAGATGAGTGAAACTACTGGCATACTTTCATTTTGCAAAATTTAACTGTTATTAGAGAATCAACTGCTATTACTTACAAGTTTGGGTTCTTACGATTTTCTCCCTAAAATAGCGTTTATATCTTGGCCTTACCGTTATCACAATAATGCCAAATAACTAGGTTGGTTAAAATTTCTGAACAATGTGATACTTGAAATACAACTAATAACAAGAACCAATGATGATCTCTCTTTTATACCACAAGAGTTTATTCTCCCCCCTTTAATTCTCTTTGTTTTGGTGTGAGAAATACTTTGAAGTATGGATAGTGGCACATATGCAAGTGGGAGGTGTCACATGTCTTCCTTGTTATGGGGGGTCTTTTCCTTTATTATCTCTTTGTTCTGCTGCCACCACTAAACCTCCTTCTGGTTTAGAAATTCTTTAAGTCTCTAACGTAATATAACTGGGTCGAATGTGGGAAAGATATAGATAGCATAGACACTTGATTTACCTAGAAACAAAGGAACAGATGGACTTTTGTTAAATAACTAAACATTGTTTTTATTTAGATACACTTACTTCTACAGAGTATCTATATCCCATTAATACTTGTTGACCTTGGGCCACAAATTATTCCTAATTCTGCGCCCCTGACAGGGAGAGGTATTTCCAGGCTAGGGCTATGACCCCCCCACCCCTCCTACCCTACCCCCACCCCCACCCCTACCCTACCCTTCTTCCTATCCCTCCCAAATCTCTCTGCTCTACTCTGCTCTCTTGGAATATAACCTGGGAGATGACCTGACTTGACATCTTTTCATTGGCAATTCCATATCCCAATCATCCCAGGGGCTGGTGAGATAAATTAATTTACCAAAATATACAGAAAATTTGGGGGAAGGCAGCCTAGGATTCAAAATTGCTGAAATATGCAATCAGTTTTAGGATATGGTGTCTGATTCAGGCACATCAGTAGGAATGGGAGGGTCCAACAATTCACAAGAATGATGTATAAATACTTCATCTAGTTAGGTAATATGGAGTACCACTTTACTGGCAGGGGTTTACTATTAAGTCACTCTGCAAATGTAAAAAACCTAATTCATGTTGATTTTGGTTGATTGTACCCAAGTTATACTATCTTCTTCATAAGTGGAATTCTCCAATATTATCCCCTTTCTGATGTAAGCTGCATGTCATGCCATTTTTAATCTATGTTAGGGGGTTGTGTTGCTTCCTGTTTGTGCTTTCTGACACAAGCACTATTTGCCAAAGACATTAGGACCTGGGGATTAAGATTGCTTCAAGAGGTTGAAGTTGAGGGTTAGTCTGCTGTAGTCCTTTGACTCTCACTGTGCTTTTTGTCTTAAATCAGGTGAACTCAGTGCTGAGAGGCTAAAGGAGGATGGCATGCAGCTGCCTTTGCTGGTGTCCAGTGATTGGAAAATGATCTGCTTCAACATTGTCCCTGTAATGAGGAGAAAGCAGGATGCCCTGAACAACTGGCAAGAAAGAGGTTTTCCACAAGGCAGTCTGAGCAAAGTCACTCAAGAAGCTGATTTCATCCCTGCCAGTTACTACCACTGGAGGTAAAACTGATGCTGTTGTGAAAGCTACCTTGTGGGAAAAGGTCCATCTTTCAATATAAATGCCTCTTCCCAAATACACTTGTAAGAAGATTTCTGTGGTATATATAGGAAGGAAAAAGCGTGGCCTCTGGATGCCATTTCTTACCTATCAATATATTACCATATTTGTACACCCAAGCTCATGAAGGCTGAAGACATACTTCTTTTTAAATGCAGGTAGGGACACAATGGATGCAACCTGTCATCTTGTGAATCTGAAGATTTCTAAGAAAAATATATAAGCAGGGAAGCCTTCCCTGGCAGATCAGATGTGTTATAAATTTCCAGCCAACATGGACTTACACATCAAAAATTTACATGGGAAAAATTAGCTTTGTAAAATACAAGGTTTCTTTACCTATAGGGAAATGCTTATTCCTTCTGGATACATATCATAATGTATGTGACTGTAAGTATCGCCTAGTGAAGAGATAAAAGATTAGTTACATATGTCAGGGTTGCTTAGATGTAGACTAAATTATCTTAGAATAGGGTTTGGATTAGAACATTTTGTCAAAAATTCTGTGATACTGTCCTACACCACCCAAGGCTTCAAGGTTACATGTCTCTCCAGACCTGTGTTTTCCAGCCCCTTGGAGCCCTCTTGTAACAAAATTGCCAAAAATCAAAGGCATAGAAGTCTTTCATAAAGGCATAGAAGTCTTATCATTTTGAGATGGGAAACACAATAAATATCCTATAACCTGTATACGTTTAAAATAATCTATTTTAAAACCTTCAAAATCCAGGGGAAAAGATAACATTCTGCCCTATTTATATCTGTGGATTGCTCCTTCTCCCACTGCAGTTCTCATACTCTTGAAGAATATTAAGTGTGGCTGCTGGCCACCAAACTTTCCCACCTGTGACCCCTTGATAAGTTGATATAAGAAAGGAACAACAGAATATCAAAGAGCTGTTGGGCTACCCAAAACTTTATTTGATGGTTTATAGTTTAAAACCATCAGAAACAGTATCTCTGCAGTTTTCTTAAATAACTTGTTCAGGCACAATATTTACTATTATCTACTCATAAAATCTCTGTAGGATAGAAATCAAAGAGGTTGGCAGCCTGAATAGATTATGTGTATTTTAAAAAGTGACGCTGATGCTGTTTAGTAATTGCTGTGTTTTTCAGATAGGCATGCACAGATTGTAAGTAATTACACTTGTGCAAAGGTACAGAATTCTCATCAGGTTCTAAGGGTTCTGTGGGACTCATTCTTACTCCCATCTGAGTCTAAAATTCTACTGGTAATTTGATCAGTCATTCCCCAAATGGAAGCTTAAATTTTACAGAATCTATGTTTTGTTCATCTACCCATCGAAGAAATATACATCATTTAGCTTCTCCACTTTGTGCGTGTTGTTTGCTTCATGGGTGTTCCATATATATATATTTAAATATAAATAGATGCCTTGGCAATCAGATATGTCTATGCATTTGTTCCAGGGACAGAACACTTGAAAAATGGTTTGAGGTACACTCATGAACTAGGTCCTATGTTTCTGAGTACCAAAAACAGGCAGAAAGATTTATTTATTCCAACATGCCTGTACAGGTGTTCCTTGCTTAATGACCACTCATTTAGCAACCATTTGAACTTACGATGGTGCTGAACAAGTGGTACTTACGACCTCTCTTTGTACTTATGATGGTTGCAGCATCCCCGTGAGCGCGTGATTGCTATTTGTGACTTTCTTTGCTGGCTTTCTACAAACAAAGTCAATGGGGAAGCCAGCAGGTTGCAAATAGTGACCATGTGATGTTGCACCTAACAATGTTGTGGGATTTGCTTAACAATGGCAACCAGAAATGCCAGAATTTCTGTCACTAAGCAGCGTGGTCATGTGACATTGTGCTTTACAACTGTGTCACTTAGCGAAGAAAATTCCAGTCCCAATTACCATCATTAAGGAAGGGCTACCTGTAATGCCCTTCTCCTCGTAACCCTAGGCATTTACATAATAAAAAGAAAATGTCAAATACATATAATAAAATTACAAATGCAGCACAGGTCCATTGTTCACTCTAAAAGCTCATTGAAACAGGATGGTTTTCGCTGCCTTACAAAATGCTAGCAGATTTGGGGCTCCTCTTAACTCAGGAGGTAAGGTATTCCATAGTATGGGGTTGCTACAATCAAGAAGGCATGCCTTTGGATTCCAACCTACTTAGCTTCACAAGGAGTGGGACAGAAAGCAGTACTTCCCAGTATGGACACAGAAGGCAAATTAATTTTGGCCAAGAGAGACAATTCTGCAGATACATAGGTTCCAAGCCATATATCGCTTTAAAAGTTAATAGCAACACCTTGGGCCCAGTGCCTACTGGTAACCAGTGCAGTGATCTCAACATAGGTTCAGCGGTATGACACCAATATCTTCCCATCAGCAGTGGGACTGTTGTATTTTGAATCAACTGCAGTTTCCGAGTTGTCTTCAAAGGAACCCCCCTGTTAGGTGTGTAAAGTAGTCTAACTGTAGTGATGAGGAACCAAGTCACTGTTGCAACAGCATCCCATCCAAGAAGGCCACCAACTGACACACCAGCTGAAGCTGGGAAAAGGTCCTCCTGGGTAGCAAGATAAGATACTGATGCATCAGTAACTTGAGCTGCACTGCTTTGTCTACAGGATCTACCTTGTCTATTGAGCAATTGGCTTTGGTATACTATTGGCAATTGCTTTAGATTTTAGGTGTAATCTAATATACTATTCTATCAGTTGCCATCCTAGCACCCATATCCTAAACATGGTAGAAATGAATTCAACAGCTGACTGCTTTCATATTGGGATGACCTATGACCAATGGTAGCTCTTTGCAAATATTTAAAGGCAAATCCATTAAGGTCATTAGCCTAAAGCAGCTAGATTTAATAGTTGTATTTTTTTTCTCTCTTCTAGCTTTCTATGACATATAATAATCAATATGTAATCTTGAGAGGAGGACTCTTGATATCAACTAATTGACTAAGGGATATATTTAGCACAATCAATAATAAAGATTTAGTCTAGAAGTCTTTTAGAGTAGACCTAGAAGTCACTCTCAAGAAGGGGCTTACAACCTGACCAATTTGAAAACCTATTTCCCCACAGTTATTGCTCTGCCATGGTGATAAACTCCAATTTAAGTTTAAATATTTATATCATGTAGTGCAGGAATGATCTTTGAGTGAAGTCTTGAGTTTTATTACAGCTGAATTTCAGTTAAACATTTTGCTAGGTATTTAAGTTTTATTTTGCAGAGTAATTCTCTCTCCTTGGTATATGAATGAGGCATCTCCCAGGGAGATTTCAGAAGCAAAGCAGAAAACCTATTAGATCTGGCCTGAATAGATGTGTAGTACAATGGTTGGGGAAGCCTTGGTTGCATTTCAGATAACGCATCTGTCAGGAGCATGACTACAGATGTGGGAGGGTGCAGATTTGATAATGTTACCTGGGGCTGATTTACATATTACATATCTGCAAACGAGGGAGTGACTGAAACATCTGCATACCTGCAACAAAAATAGCATTTAAAATAGTAGTGCTGGTTTGTCAATACAGTATGTGACAGGGAAATATTAATGAACCTGACTATCCCACCCTTGACGTGCCTATGTGTTTGATAGTATATATGTGCAATCCTATTCACCTATTAGTGCAAATATTTACCATCAAATTTGAGGGGATAAATCAACACATTATGAAACAGAAACATTGGACTCTAGATACATATGTGGAATGGGCAGCAAAGATATGATTATCATGTTATATTCTGATTGCAAATGTGTGCAAAAATGTTTTAATATTGATTGCAGACAAACTTGCAGTTTAGAATGTAGGGACCATGATCTTTGTGTTAATATTTATGTTTCAACTTAGAAGCAGTGCATCCTCCTTTAGAGTAATAAAAAGCTGTCAATGGTCATTATCTCCACAGCCCCTAGGTCCCTTAAAACAGAACTAGGAAGTCTTTGGCCCTCTGGATATTCAACTATAATTCCTAGCATTCCATTTCCCCTTCTGGCTGGAGTGCTAGGAGGTGGAGAGTCACCTTATTTTATGTAGCCATGTCCTCAAGAGATCAGCTTAGAATACTAATATGGATGTTGACTTTTTCAGTAACTCACAGCATGGGTATTAGTATGAATGGTGGATGTATGAATCCTACAGTGAAGCAGACTGAAGTCTGAAATGAATTGTCAACTTCTAGCTCCATGTTTCTCTTGTTAGGTACTCCACCAATCGTTCCATCTTGAAACTTGTTCAAATTGTAAGCACCCTAAAGGGATATCGTCTAGACAGCCTCTCCCTTCTTGACCAAATCAACCATGAGAACTGGAGAGAGAAAGGGAAGGAAAAAGGGCTCACATTTCAACATTTGAAGGTTGGTAGGATTTTTTTTTCAGGAGTGCAAAACTTAATTTACTTGATGGGCTTTGGTTCAGATCTGTAGTCATTAAGAATATAGTAGTTCAAACATTATTGTATACTTGGCAAACACAGAAAATATAACAACTGAGAGAGATCAGCTGTCTCCCCCCACCCTAGAAGTCCTCCAGATAGGTTGGACCTCAACTTTCTGAATTCAGGGAAGCCTTTGGGCAGCATCTTTAAGGTAAGGGATGGGGAAAGTACTGAAGTATAAGGCAGAAAGTGGGAAAGCTCCTATTTATAGATATCATCTCTAATGTCTGATTGGCAGAAGGTGGGCCACTATGGAATGCCATACTGGAGGCAGGACTAGTGAGTTCCACTTTTCCCCTTGTGGGATATGCATATAGTAATTGCATAAAGATTAAATATTGCTTATACAAATTGTTGAATACTGTGTAAATTAAAAATGATTGCAAATTTGTAAGTGGTAGCAGCTCTGAAATATTCTATACATTTGCTATTGTTCAGTATCAGGCTTGAGTTTTTACAAACTTAGCAGAATATCAAATGCTACTTGGACAGTTCAAATTTCATGTTTTGGATGTATTGCATTCCCTACCACTCCAGGTTAGAGAACATGGAGTAGCAGAACGTGTTTTACAAAAATCTGGGTGTGTGTCATACAGCTCACAAGCAATGTACCTTAATTGTTGCACCTTCTATTTTTAGCTAACTGTATGGTCATTCCAGAAATGAGGCCAGTTTCAGAATGAACTGAGTTAAGGTTTATGGTTTGTTTTTGTTCAGCTTTGTTTATGAATTCTGTTATTAATGGGACAATAGTTTATTAAATTTACCTTGTTTGCCTTAACTTTGTGAACTGCTTTCTTTTTTTAGCTGCTTACTTTCAATGCTTGTATTTTCTCTTTTTAATTGCAACATACAAAGGCCTAGAAAACATCAAAGCAGCAACATACTTCAGTGCACTGAAAAGACGGTCAGCCGCTTCTGTGAAACAGACATAAGATTACCCGTCACTTAAGTCCCTCAATAATACTGGGTACAATTAGGTCTGGCTTTTTGGAAATGAGGCTTTTCCCCCCAGAATATGTTTTCATTCCTACCAGTCTCTTGTATTGGAAGAAGTGTGAATATGGCACTTCCATACAGCAATCACTCTAGGAAACCTGCTGATAAGATGCAGGCAACTTGAGATTTTCTTTTGGATGAAAGTCTTGCCACAGGGTGACAGTAGAGGCCGACTGGCCACACAGGAGAGGAGAAAGATGTTAAGGCCACTCATGAATGCAGGTCACTTAACAGGTATGGCCGTCCAGATAATGAACTACAACTTCCAGCATCCTACACTGTTTGTTCTAACTAGAGCTACGTTTCAACAATCCTAGAGGACCACAGCTTCCCTACCCCTCATATACATTGTGCAACTCAGCAATCTTTGGCTTAAAAATTAAGTTTGGGATGCCCAAAGTACACACATTCCCCCTGCCTGCCTCTCTCTCTGATACTTGCTAATTTATATGCTGCCCTATCTATTTGTGACTCTGAGCATCTTACAGATTTCCAGAACAATATTAAAAACTAAACATAACAACTTAATAACAATATATAAAAAAACACCCCTAGCACCAGGGAGCAACTATAACATAATTAGATGAACCCCACTTAACCCCCAAAGACCTGCTGAGACAGCCAGGTCTTAATGGCTTTATGAAAGACTAGCAGAGTCAGGGCCTGTCTTATGTCAGGGGAATGCTGTTCCAGAAAAAGCTCAAGCCCAGAATCCTGCAGGTTACATTTCCTAATGGATCTACTCAGTTTCTCATAGTAAGCAGTACTTCAAATGTTTAATAAGGGCCAAAGGTTTCAAGACTACAAGGAAGCTACTCTTGGTGTCAGCTTAAGTTCAGCCATCTCTCCCAAGTTTTCTAACATGCATTAATTATTCACTAGAACACAGACCAACTCTATAATGAACAATAATAATATGCTTTGTTTTTACATATTTTTGAAAGGCTTTTTTGTACTGCCTTTAGTAATTAGTCTTATTTCCTCCTAGATGTTATTGCTCTGGGCTACTCATTTTTTCCCTTCCTCTGAAGACTGGCTGAGTCTGGAAGGATCAGTATATCGTCTGCTGGTGATCTTACTTTGCTGCTTGGTGACCAAAAATCTTCCCCATTTTTTATACCCAGAGCAAAATCTGTTCAAGGGTGATGGTCTGGACCTAAGTGCTTTGTATCCCAAAGTGGAAAGCTTTGCTCTAAGTCCTGAGCGTTTCCTAAAGTTTAATTTTGCCCAAGGAGAAGGCAAGAAATTCCATCAGAAGGACAATGGTCTCAGAGCTTTACTTCATCTCCCAGCAGAAAACAGAGACTACTGGGATACTGCCTTTTTTGATATGCTGCTTAATAAGGTAATTAGTTATAAATACAAGGTTTAAAATTTATAATCTGATTTTTTTCCAGGCCTTCTGTAAGATCTTGGATTTTCCCATGGATCCCCCAGTATAATCACTGATGGCTCATTCAAGGGTTTATTGATGTACTTTTACATATTTATATGTCACCATTTAGTACTCTTCTCAGGACATTTAAATAGCAAAACAAACAAGCAGTTACTATATGTTAGAAACACCTAGATGAATCAGTCCAATAACTATATGGACATTTTTCTTTTTAATGGGGCATTCTGCTGCTTAATTACTCAGTATTATTTCAGCACTCTGCTTGATTCAATCCTCTAATAAGGGCCTCTGCTGAATTCAAATCTCTGGTGATAAACCTTTTATCAAAAGCAGTAACACACTTGTGTTTTACAAGTGAGGAGCCCTGAGTGTAAGAGATAACTTCCAGAGGGACAGCTATGTTAGTTGTAGGGAAGACCATTTTAAAGCTTTCAGCTTTATTTGCTGTTGTTCAGCTATAACTTACTGAGAGTCAGAAACTTTGGAGGTCCATTTTCTTTCCAGCTCTGATTTGAGGAATTCAGCTTAGATTCATTTCAAGCCAAATTCAAGTTCTCCCTTTTGCTTGCATTTTCTGAAATCTCTCTGTAGATGAAATGGTCCCTGCCCCAATGCTAAAATACATCAGCTTTGTGTACACAATCTGGGGAGAATGTCAGGAGAAACTAGGTGGGGAGGTAAAAAGTTAAATATCTTTCAGCTACTCTGACTCCCCCTTTTTTTTTGCTGCAAAGCATCTAGTACTAAAAGTGTTTCAGAAGGCATTGTTGAAGTGTTGATGCCTATGGCTATCGATACAAGAAGAAATTCATTCCTCCTGAAAATTTATACCAAGAATGGGGAACTGGATTTTTCTAAAAAGCTGATTCAGCTCTTCATCTGAGCTGGCAATAATTTCTTAGTGCAGGAGGACGTTGGAGCCCATATTCTACACCATAGAGAAATGTACGTAGAATCATAGACTCAGCTTTTTTGGAGAGATGATACTCACTTGGTGAACTGTCCAGTTAGAAGCTGCCTAGCATGATTCTTGACTGGGCAACTTGCTGGAAAGCTCCTGAAGGCCTCTCCTGGTAAGTTCCTAACCCAGCTGGGAAGATCTGTGGCAGAGGAGCCAAGCAGATTAGCAGCCATCTGGCACAATCACTGATCAGAAAATGTACTGGAGAGGTCCTGCTTCACCTCTGCCTTTTCTTGTCTCATTTATTGATAATTCACAGTATGTCAGGAGATATTACTTATACACATTATTATAATTATACACAAACATGCTCACAATACACACACACACACACACATATTTTCATTTGGATTTTTTTTAAAAATGCATAATTTCTGGAATAGGACAGAATGGGATGAAATGGACTTAATAAAGATTAGGAACTGAAGGGAATCAAATTTGAGATATATGCTCCCCCTACCCTGCATATTTACTTGGGCAGAAACAAATCCCAGTTAGCTAACTGCCTAATATATCTGCCTGGTACTGCTTAAGCTGCTTCTGCCCAGTACTTATTTTTTATTTTATTTATTTATATATCAAATTTGTCACTGCCCATCTCGTTGAAAAGTGACTCTGGGTGGTTTACAGAGGAGATAAAATTAATTAAAATACAATATAAAAACAATCCTAAAAATAATAAATAAATTCCAGGAATGATGGGATGGGCAAATAACTTATGCAAGCTTGACTGTAAAATAGCTTAAGAAAATCCTGTCTGGACTGAGACACTTTGGCAATAGCTTGCAAGATATTCAGTCTGGGCAAAAGACTACTACATCCTTCCATGGATAATTCCTTGGCAGCTCTGCCTCCCATCTTTCTGTTCCAGGGAAGAAAATGTCCTCATATGGGTGACTCTAATGGGACATATGTACATTTATGTGTGTGTGTGTGTGTGTGTGTACATATCTGCAAAGTGTAATTAAATTTATACAATACAAAGTTAAAGTATCATAATGCACATATATTCAGGCACAAGAAGCAGCTTTAAAATAAAAACTCCTGTCTTACTACCCTCTAGGTTTCTGATATGTTCTGGAGCAATAGTGTCAAACTCAAATAGAAACGGGGCCACTAAAACATACGTAAGGTCACATATTGACTTAGAAAACTACCCATTTATATACTTCTTTGTTTATTAATACATCAACACATAAAATCAGATAGGATCATAATATTATAAAATCATAAGATCAGATATTATTTATAAAAATAATGAAGGCAGGATAAAAAAAATTCAAGTAAGTAAATAAATAAATAAATAAAACTAATGTATTATTATTACAAATTTGATTTCTTTTCAATATTATGTGTATTTATATATATTTATTATCTACATGCATACAAATCAGATAAGAACTAGTTATAGATAAAAAGAAGCATACAATTTTACGTTTCAATATCAAATATATTCAAAATCATTACAAAACATATCATTACAACAAGATTCAAAATTAATTTAATATTCTTTGCTAGAAATTTGACATCTTTTGCCAGAAACTATTTTATCAAAAACATTATGTACAAAATGCATTTAGATCACCCCCTTCTTTCATTTCCTCCCATTCTTTCCTTCTTCCCTGAATATATTCTGAACTTATTTAAACTTTATTATTAATTTAAAAGTGGAAATTTTTATAAAGTTAACAACCACCATGAACCTTGTACAGTCTGAAACTCAACATAAATTAATTAAACCTTTTTGGAGGGAGGAAGAAATGAATTCAACCTCTTTTGGAAGAAGGAAGGAATTTAAACCTGTTTTGGAGGAAGGTGGGGAATTTAACCTTTTTTGGAGAGAGGATAGAAATTAATTCACCCTGTTTTGGAGGGAGGCACTGCTTTGTGCGCAGGAGGTTCTGGGGCCTGGAGTAGGTCAGCTACAAGTGCAAGGCTGCCTCCCTGCTGTCCCAGGGAAAAAATATAAGCTCACCACCTCAACTTAACTGCAGCAGCAAGGTTGTTTGGCATTGCTGCAGTGCAGACTGGGAGGGAACTCCTGTCACGTGATGCTCCTGCTCAATCTGTGCTGTGGCAGTACCAAGGGGTCCTGCAAACTGTGACAGCAAGCTTGACTCCTTGCGAGTCACAAGCCCTAAGGGTTATGGTGGTTGGTGACTAAATGTATTGTTATTTTGTTTTAAAATGTAATGTTATCTATGTTTTATTGTATTTTTATTTTGTTAAATATTTCCCAGTGGCATTTTAATCTGGTTTGACACCTCTGTTCTTGAGCTGCCGTTAGTAATGGTGCTGCCTACTTTTCCCCTGGGCTTCCACCTAACCCTAACTTTTTTTCCTGTTCCTTGGCAGAAATGGGCCTTTTCAAAAAAAATTACTACTTTTCTTTCCCTGAGTTATTACTGGACTTTATTACGTTTTTAAATCAACCGCTGTACCGTTTTATCCTTCTAACGATGTACTGGTGGAAAAACTCCAGCAGAAAAGTAGATCGCTCAGAGAAAGAAAAATAGTAAGCCCCACCCCCCAAATCTACAGAGAAATCAGCAATATTTTATATATTAATCATTAAGCAAGGGATATATCATCTATGCTACTGAAGACCACTGCTAATAGTAGCCTTAGAAGACATTAGAGATCTACAGGTGGTCACCACTGACTCAGTTGAGGGCACATTTCTGTCTGTAAAAGAAACAGTCAAAGCACAAGGTGTACCTAAAAGAAAATAAAACACACCAGGTGAAACATACAGCAGGGCTTGATATGACAGTAGTGCTTAATTAGACTGAGAACAGGTATAAACCAATGTGGATGTGAGAACAGAAACGTCTGACAGCAGCATCCCACTGGAATCTGGAGAACAAATCTCACTGACAGGTGTGCAGTGAAGATGTACTGCCAAAGTGGTTAGCTGTGCAACTCCAGCAAGGTTATATGTATTGTCTTATGTACATGTGCAAGAAACAGATGTGCATGTGACATTGTAGCACACGAAGAAAGGGATCAGGGCTTGCAACACAACATGGCAATACTGCTTTTGTCAGTCTCCTTCCCCTGGCAGCCTGTTGGATCTGAACAGTTCCTTAAAAGCCAGTTCCACAGTGGTAGAAATGTCATTTGATATAGTTTGATACTTTTTTTTTTTTTTCAGTTTCAGATACATCAGGTTAAAGACAAACAACGGATTTCTGCTATGTCAAGCATCTTGTCAAAGGCTAAGAAAATGGTCCATAACCAGAGTTGAAAACATCACCATGACAATACTGTGTTTCCTATCTGGATGAACATGCTTTATATTTAGCTTATTTCTTGTGATCAGACTTCTCATCTGATGCTAACCGTTTGAGTTTCTTGCTCAAGAAAAAAAAACACATAAAGAATTATAGCCTGTGACTGTATAGAGGTAGTAGTTGTTGGATTCAATTTCATTATTAAGGATGATGGTCCAATTTGTAATCATTGTCTTTTATAGAGTAAGTAAAATATATACAGTGGTCTTAATTCTCTGTCTACAAACTATTTATCAGAGGTTCATAATCTGCAGCCCCTCCAAATCTTAGATGCAATCACTAGAACTCCTCCAAAAGTTGCTGCCAGATAATAATGGTGAATGTGACAACAATAATTATTAAATACATGCAGAGTAATCATATTAATCTAATTAATGTAACTTAAAATAGATATCATTTTGGTCCAGGGTTCTCCCAGGTCTTCATTCTGTTTCCCACACACCCCTGCAGAATGGTGATAGAATACTCCTTGATAGTGTACTCTTACATTAGAAGAAAGTATTGAGATATTCTGAGTCTCTTTAGGAAATGCCAATGTATAGACTTAATACAGGAGAAAACAAACTACTTAAAAAGGAAGTGAAGTTGTATTTCTTTATAGCTTTTTCAAAGTTCAGGAATATGTGGATAACAGTATGTTACTCTTGCAGATTGCCTCTCATCCTTCTTTTCTAAAGGCTGAAAATTTGATGAAAAACACACGACACCTAGCGTGAGAACTTCTAGTCATCTATTGCTTTAGTAGGAAGTTCTGCAGTTCTTCTTCCCTCACTGCCCCCCCCCTTACTGATTATGATTGGTCGTACATGTAAGAATTAAAAACTGCATATTCTACCTGTGAAATTCACTGTATACTTCAAAAACGTACACATTTTACTGCAGTGGCCATTTTAGAGATTGCAATTATGCTTAATAAACCTCAATCAAGATCATGGGACTTAAGCTGTTTTCCCAAACTAGTGACCCTGATGCCCTTGAGGTTGCTGATTTTCTCTTGTTAATGGCTGTAGGAAAATTGCAACTTTAGTTAAGATTGCAAGGGTGGGAGGAGGAGGAGGAGGAGGAGGAGGAAGAAGAGGGGATTAATTTCATCACAAGGCCTGTTGTGATGGCAAACTGCAATTGATGAGGAGGTAGAAACAATCTCTTCATGCTGTGGGGGAAGCGGTTCTAGTTGGGCTGCTTTTCTGCCATCTAATGGCTGTCTGGATTTTTATAGCGCAGATATGGTAGCTCTAGTCCTACTCTTCTCCTTCCACTCTAGGACAGCCTTTGAAAGATGGGCTGTTGCTCTTTATTCTTGATGTGACCCCATTTTTCAAATGGCCTTTGTTTTGCCGGAGACTTCGTGGTGTGTTTGTGTGTACGTACACATGCATACATCTGTGAAAACCTGGATGTTAATGTAAAGTTCGTGGTGTGTTTGTGTGTACGTACACATGCATACATCTGTGAAAACCTGGATGTTAATGTAAAGTTCGTGGTGTGTTTGTGTGTACGTACACATGCATACATCTGTGAAAACCTGGATGTTAATGTAAAGTTCGTGGTGTGTTTGTGTGTACGTACACATGCATACATCTGTGAAAACCTGGATGTTAATGTAAAGATACTGTATATGCCCCATTTTCCATGCATTCCTTGGAGCCCAAATGGCTGCGACATGTATTGTAGAATGTGGTCTTTTGTGAAGAGCATACCCTTATAAAAGCTATGCTGCATCATATGGAATGTTAATTAGAGTCACTTTGTGTGAGATGGGAGGCTATATAAATAAGACAAATAAATAAATAAATAAATAAATAAATAAATAAATAAAATATCTGTAACCTTTCTGCATAGGAAGAATTTGTGAAGTAACAAACTTACAGTAATCTTTTTGAGTGATTATACCTGAAGGTATATGTGTTTATGGTGCTACCATTTAGTCATTGTTATTTTTAAATTCCATTTTATGTATGGAATTAATTATGTTAATTCATATATGTGAGAAAAATATGTAATACAATTCTTTATGAAAACTTGGTATCTAATTTTGGTATCATAATTAATTTCTTTTTCCCAGTTTTATGTCTCAGTTTTACTCTGATCACACACTGTAAATACATCATTTACTAGTGGCACCAAGGTAATTTCAATAGAGTACATAATATGTATAATTTGTCCTTGTGTTTCAAGTGAGTTTTGGAAAACATAAGATCCAGGTTTAGCACATTACTGAGACTAGATATGAAGGAAGAAGCAGTGCAGTAGATGCTGCCACCATACTATGTAAATGTATAAAGCATTATCCACAAGTGTTGTTTAAAAATGCATAGGTACCCATTCTCAGAAACTCCCATTCAATTTGAATCTCATTTTCTCATGGCCTTCATATATTTCCTTGCCTGATTAACTATAGAAGAATCCATGGAGGCTAGATGTTAAGGCAATTGTAGTGCAATACACTAGGAGGACACTAGGTTGTTTAAGACTTCTTTGAGACCATAACAACAAACCTCTTGGAACTATAAACAAAAATTCCAAATCTGTTATGAGATCATAAGTTTTGTAGATTTTTATCCAAGTTCCTTTTTCTATCTAACATATATACACAGAAAAGCAAGATGCACTGACACTTTCAGCCTACACTCAACAGGTGAGTTCATAGCTGCCTAAAGTCATTAAACAATTTTAAGCTTTGTCTTCAATCAGCATACTAATCTAATAAAACCATAAAAGGTAATGGTTGGAAGGAAACTTAGAAATCATC